CAACCCCCTCGAGCCATTAAAGATTGAGTCCTAGAACGTGAAGATCCGATCATTAATTAGATCAAGAGTTATTTAAAGTGGTCCTTTTTTGATGAACCGTGCATGTCATATTTTATAAAATTCAATCATGTTCATGCTCTTAAAAATGTCCGTCAGTCGTGTTTAAGGATTAAAACCCTTTTATTTAGACTGCGAATCATTCTTAGTATAGCGAATCAGAAATGGAAACGGCGAATCTGTATGGGGCCGGTATGAACCAAATAATATAGCAAATCAGCATGCGCGATTGAATCGGTCAAATGTTTAAATAAATAAACAGATCCATAATTTGTAAGACAATTGGGTATAGTGCGGCTTTGAGGAGAACTCCTCCAGACTGAAAGTCTGGGGCTGTCTGCTGCTATGGTAACAAGCGAGAGTACATTTCTAATGGGGGTGAAACGGAGAAAAGAAGGTGTCGATTGGTTTACTTACGACGACCTAAGCTTAGATTAAGACAAAACTATTCACCCCACTCCCCTATTCGAAGTGGCCTTTCCTCGTAACCATAGTACCCGCCACGCCGCGAAACGAGTGTCTGGTGGAGTTCTCCTGAAAGCAGCACTATACTTGCTATTCAAGAAGACCCCCATATCCCCACATGTGACCTATGACGCCAGCACCAGCTAATCTTTATCAGCAAAATGTCATGTTAAAGCTAAGTTTCTCTACATAAGTTAGAATGTTAATTAACTATAAGTTAATTAGATGGTTCATCGAATTATCTGAAACAAAATTATTTCTCGTCTACCTATTTATTATGCTTATTATTTATGTAGTCTATTGTAATCATGATATATTTTTGTTTCGTGTACCTAGCCTAATTAGTTTGTTTATGTTTCACACGGCTTCGTGCCTGTCTTTGTGTTAAGTCTCTGTGTAAATATATAGTGAAATAATTGAAATCTTTGAGAAAGAATCGCTGTGAAAGAATTTAGAATGTGTCAATGAAGATAATTGACCATTCAGGATCGAGATACTCACATTACGTCACTTGCAGGTATCCTATTGACCAATCGTATCTTTATGTCAAAAAACTGTCTTGATAAGTCTAAGTGTTGTTCACATCTCGATAAGTTTGGATTGATAATACTAAGTATTAGTATTTTTTTGTGGTCTATTTAGAAAATGGTAAAAAATAGTTTCATCTCGTATTTATACTTTGACTAACTTAGTTTAATTTTTAACCACTACATTTAATTTATAAATCTATCAAGACATCTTTTGATTTTGAATTGATTTATAAATTTTAACGATGCTCGGCAAGTGATAATAAATTAGACTGCACTAAAGAAATATGAGAAATATATACATATATATATATTTTTTGGTTTGTAAAAATTTTCAATTATGCGTTGAGGTTTTCTAAAGAAATTGATTATTGAAACTTGTAAAAATTCCTTTTATCCGTTTTTAATAAAGATGAAGGATAAAATTAATTCAATGTGAAAAAAAAATAATTCCAAAAATATTTTTTTTAATTAAAAACCCTCAGTGAATAATTTTTTCTTCGAAATATGTTTGATGTTTTTGAAAACTACTTTATTTACTGATTGTTCTAAATAAATTGGTTTCTTATAAAAACATATTTTCCTTTTTGTTGTTTTGAAGCTTATCAGTAGAAGAATAGAGTGTTCTAAAATTATAACTTTGAAACAGCATATATAAGGATATCTTCTAAAATTTAATATTTCAAAGTTAAAATTGTATGAAAAATAAAGAATTATTGAAAAGATAGCTTGTATAATACAAAGTCAAGTCACGCATAACTTCCTATCAGGTTTCTTCAAAGTAAAATCTGCGGCCTAAATTAGCTCAACCCATATTGTTATCAAACATTATTAACAGCAGTAAAATTTCTTTCGAAAATTTATTTTAAATGGCATCATTTAGAGTACAAGGTTACAATCAATAAACGTATGTGGAAAATAATACATACGATGGAAATTGTAAACTGTTTTTCTTCTTCCCTAAAAGCGTTCAGGAAAGGTTAATATTTTCATACTATTAAAATTATAGATCAAAAAATAATAAAATTGCAATTTAAAAATGACATAAAATGACGCTTTGACATTATTGAGCTTTAAAATATTATTTTTCCAGCATTAAATGTTCTCATTTACATTTTAAATACATTTCTATACTTCTTGATAAAAAAGATTAGAAAATGGTATTACAATGTTAAAAAAATTTTTTAGAAAAATAATTGCATTGAGGGTTTTTTTTTAAAAATATAAATATAGCAAACTATTATAATACCGCCGTTTTAAAACATCAGCCAACCATTCTCAACATAAAATAAAATATTACCATACGTTACGTTGGCGAGTTACAGTTTTAAATTACTATCACGAAAAAAAAAAGGAATAGCTTACTGCCAAAATCTAATTGTCAATAAAATATTTTTCTCTGTTTTTAATTTCCCAAGAGTGTACCTTCAATTACTTCATTTTTTATTCTCTCTTCTTTACAAAATCTTATATGCTTTGAGAGAATATTATATATATATATATATATATATATATATATATATATA